ACTCTGTGATAATATGACCATAAATGCATACTTCCCCATCTGGTTTCAGAGTTATTTATTGGCAATTAAGTGTCTAGATTACAGAATCCTGTGGTTTTACTGATATTAGGCAGCAGCTTTTAGCTTGTAGCTTTTAAAATTTCAATGTCTGGCTTCTAGGGTCCAGTTTGATCCCTTTTATCCAGTTCCCTTCCAGCCAGCCAGTTTATGCCCTTTTCTTTCCTATCGACATTTGTTTTAAATGTGCTCTTACATCTTCTAATTTCCCCTTACTTCTGCTAGAGTGCATCTGTTTTCTTGGGCACTGCACTCAGAAAATTTAGATACAGATGATTTCACTGAATACCAATCTGAGTGCATGGCAGCCAAACAGATCTCAGCTGCTGTTGGGGGAGCAGAAGTAGACAGTGTTGTCATCGCTCAGTGAACTCTGCTTATGTTCTCCACAAGTCTCTCTTCATACAATGCAACACATGGAAATGTTGAGAAAACTGAATGTGCTGTCAGCAAAAATCTTTGGAGAGACTCCACTGCTTTCTGGCTCATCATTCCTTAGTATATTTAAACATGTTTTTTTTCCTCTAACCTTTGTTCTGAAATCTTAAGCAAATTTGGGAGGATTTTTCAAAGTTATTGCTTAAAAATATTTCAAGAAAATTCTTTGGTTTACAAGTATCATTTGTGGAAAAAAACATGATCTTTGACCTATTAATTTGACAAAACTGAAAAATAGGATCACTGATGGATTTTGGGTTTGGCTTCTTCAGCATGAGTATTTATGAGCTTCCCTCTATAATAATTAAAGGGATTTGTTATTTGACAACTAGAAGTTTTCATCTTTGTTTAGTCTCATAGAGACAGCAAGAGCTGAGGCAGTGCAAGACAATCAGTCTTCCATGTTCATAGGCATGGTCAAGACTAGATCTGTGAGGCAAGATTAGTAGCATCCATTCTCTGTCTAACATGTAGGTATCAGTCTTTAAGAAGAATCCGTCTGGGGTTTTTTGCCGAAACATTGATTCATATTGAAGAAAACAACTGAAGTGGACAACTTTTAAAATGCATTTTGGGTTTCTGCATGTGAGCATATTATAATGAACTTTTCAAGTGTAAATTTTTCTCACTTCAGGTGAAATGGAAGAAATCAGATGTAAAGTTTGAAGACCGATTCGACAAGTATCTTGACCCATCTTTCTTTCAGCACAGGGTATGTAGCCCTACAAAATATCCATTCAGAATGGTTGCTTTAGTTCAGAAGATGTAATGGAATTTTTGGATGATATCTTTGAATTCTTAGATGTCCCACTTGTTCAGAGACAATGAGACAAGCAAGTCTAGGACTGTAGGTTTTAAGTGATAGTTCTAATGCTCAAATAGGATGGCTCCTGTAGAGTGCTTCAGTAAATGTCTACAGGCAGTCTCAGGCTTGCAGCAAATACAGGGAAGTTCAAGTTAAATACATTCACATGATTGTAAGCAAGCAAGTTTCAGGGACACAACCATACAACTTGTAAGCTGAATAATTGCAATTGGTCATACATACACTTCTTACTGAAGTAAATGCAAAGCAAAAGCATTAGCCTAAACCAGGTGGTGGTATCAGTTGTGATGGTTAAACTTAGTGTTGTGATCTCCTTAGGAGATCCTTAGGAGTAGTATATTGAGGAGTAATATATTGAGCAAGGGGTTTTTTTTTGTTTTTTGTTTTTTTTTTTTGGCTGTGAACATCTCTTTCACTACTTAAACCTCTTCTCTGGGAAAGCAGCAGCACATAGTGTTGCCTTGCCTAAACCAAGGGAGCATGCATCGCGAGTTGTTCAAACTTTGCTGGTGCTTAACTGAGCTGCCATAACTTCGTCATGAGCAGCTTGGCTGTTGAAAATCTTTGTGTGTAGCATGTTTCAAAGGCCACTTTTAGTGGGGCTTTCTACAATTGTAGTGTTACTCAGCTAGTGCTGACAATCTGTCCTGCTAGGCAACAGTTTATCCTTATTGGAACAAATTTGAAACACATTTACAGTTCTAAACCTTAGGAATGTGTTTTCTTTTTGTAGATTCACTGGTTTTCAATTTTCAATTCTTTTATGATGGTGATCTTTCTGGTTGGCCTAGTGTCTATGATACTAATGAGAACTTTGCGAAAAGATTATGCAAGATACAGCAAGGAGGAAGAAATGGATGACATGGTAAGATCTGCATTCATGGTTTTAAAAAAAATCTATTAAGGCTTATTCTTTCTCTTTGGATAGTCATTGTGTTAGCAGCTCTGAATAGCTTTCCACAACTGGACACAAAATGGCTGCATGTGTATCTTGAAAATGTTATTTCTTTGTACCATGCTTTTAGGTTGCAACCCAGAATTCTGTCTATAGTCACTGTGTTAATCTTCAAATTCACACTTAGGTTAAAGGAGGTCCGTTCTGAGTGTGTACTAGAAGCCTTTGTGTACTCCCAAGCATGTTAGAGGATTTTAGGGACCGGGGAAGGGGCAGCCGAAATATGATAGATTTTGATGCATCATGCATAAAGTAGTAATTTTTGGTGTCTTCATAAGCATCTGAAAAGTTAACTTTTCTCCTAGATTTGATGCATTCGGGAGAGAAGGCATAGTTGTACTTGAAGTTGCTTTAATAAATCAAAACTTTAACTTATGACTAGCTTGTGTGTTTGTCATTAGTTGTCATGACTAGTCTTTACAATTATTTTTTTTTCCCTAGGACAGAGATCTAGGTGATGAGTATGGGTGGAAGCAGGTCCATGGAGATGTTTTTAGACCATCCAGTCATCCTCTGATATTTTCATCACTTATTGGTTCTGGCTGTCAAATTTTTGCTGTGTCTCTCATAGTCATTGTTGTTGCGATGATAGAAGATTTATACACAGAGTAAGTGCAGTGCCTTCCACATAGATATGCTTATATGAACAAAAAAACCCAATAGTATAAATGAATGTTCCAACTGGCCTGGAAAAAAAGTGTTTGAGAGTCTTTAGCAAATGATCAGGTGTATTCAGAAGGGTGCTTTTAAGTTGTAATGAAACTTTGTTCTACTCTTATAATGTGAGTTGGTCTCCTTTAATTTTACTGGTTTAATGTTTGCTTTTTACATGAATTATTATTAAACTGTAGCTTCATTTTTGCAGCATCATGGGTAGATTATATGGGAAATAAATGTTAAAAGGTACATACTTCACTCCTGGTTTCATCTGGAGTGACAAGATATTCCTGTATTTCTTTTTTTTCATCCCTTTGTCCTGTAAAGACTAAAGTGGGAGTGTGCTGTGCTGGGAATAGTTCTATTTGCTGCTGACAATGTTAAACCAATCTTAGGCAAAAGTCGTTTCAATTTCTTAAGTTCTTTCTAGCACATACTGCTTGGCAGGTGTTGCCTGTAAAACCTCTAGCAGTAGGTAGGCTGTGGTCCTGACCGGGGAGAATTCATTTAAAACAAATGTACTCCAGTTTAAATTTAATAAACCACTTGTGGTTCAACGAGTCTTCTTCCTTACCTTTTATCTATTGAAGTTTTTTGGTGTCCTGGATGGACTTAATCTGTTTCTTAGTGATTGTATTTTGGATACTGAGAGGTTTATTTTTATTTTTAAAAGTGCTTTGTTTTAAGCAATGACTGAAATTTCAAATCTGTGTTATATTTTTCCTTGAATATCACCTGTAACTATTAAGTTGTAGTGCTTGTAATGTGCCACTAGAGAGAGCTCTTGGTTTTGAATTTAGCTGCCTTTCAATGGTGAGTTTAAAAAGCCACTCTGTAGTACCAGGATCTTGGCATATTTTTGTTTTTCATGTGGTGCTATTTCACTCTTGTATCCCATAGTTACATTTCTAGATAGACTTACATACAAATTTTTAATTCTATAACATGTCAGCCCTTTAAGGGAGTGAATGAAATAGTTTCAGAATATGTAGGGAAGCTATATGTTAGTAATAGCAATTGCAAATTGTGTCAGAACAGTAATTTTAAAAACTGTGTGTACTTAGTCTTTTATTGCATTACCGTTTATATCACTTTCAAAGTGAACTAAATTATGGGTGCAGAACAGAGCATTTGACCAAACCTGGTGCAGAAAATTCTTATGTTCAGAAAAATAGTGATGTGAGTGAAAAAGGCTGTAAACCAGCATGATAAGAATGGTTTCCTGTGAGCTTTCTTCAAGCCTGTTGAAACTCTTGGGGATTATGTAGCTGATGCCAACTGGGAATCTCTCAGTGAAATTTGACCATGTCAGCTATTTTTTAATACTGGTTTGTGTGTTAAGAAGCTTTTCCATTAGAATTTTTTAAACATAAGTGAGTAAACTCAAGAACAAAAAATCTTGATATTATTTGAGATTAACATCTGCTGGTCGCTTTACAGGCAGCCTGGATTTACATGGGTCAGCTTCAGACTGTGCATGGTTTTCGGGAGTTTTGCATGTGTTTCTTAATTTCATTTAAGTTAGGGCAACTGTTAACATTAGTTTCTGTCTAACAAGTAATTTGCTAAAATGGAACTATTGCTTATTTTTTTAAGAGGAAAACATTGGCATAATGCTCCCATTATGGTAAAGATTACTTCTTTGAATAGGCTGCGTGTCCAGAAATGGTCCATCAAAAGCCAGAAGACAAAGTCTGGAACCTTTCAGAACAATCAACTTGAAAGATAGTACAGCAAGCTAGCTGAAACCCTTCTACTGCTTTTATCTATTAAAAAGTAGCAGAGGGACATGAGGAAACAGCTCTGTTCATTAATAACATTTATATCGTGCTATTCTTAGATATGATTTTTAAAAAATTATATTTGGAGATAGCTTTTGTGATTTAAAATTATTAGCATTGCCTGTAAAATTTTAGAAAAATTATGCTAAAATGAGTACTGTAGCATTTAATGAGGTGATAATTTAAAAATGACTACACTCTTCTGATAGGTCTACTTGCTGATTTGTGGCTTCATCACTGTATTTATAGTTTCTAAATCAGGTTTTCTAATTTTCTGTAAGATGAACACTTTCGATCTTAAAAGTTAATTTCTGTGTGGTAGCAGAAAAATAATTCACAATCTCAGTATATTTTTGTTAATAATGTCCTTTCAGTTAAGCAAAGAGTACTTTGTATCTGCAATAGTTAAGCCTTATAATTAATGTATGTCATGTAAATAGTTCACAACACACATCCAAATGTGAGAGTATTTTGATCAGAGGTGAGATTTTGTACTCCAGTGAAAATAAATGGACATTAGGAAAGAATGTAGTATCCTGGAACTCTGTTTCACAGATTGAATTACACTTATCCTGAAGTTTAGGATACAAAGAGTTCTCATTCTTATGTAGATTTTACAATTTAAGCACTCTAAAATTTTTAAATTACATGATACTAAATAGCTGCTTCTGCTGAATGTACATGTTTTACTGTAATCTTTTGATCTAATATTGTTTGGTTTTCTGTTTCATTTATCAAAAAAATAACTTCTTGTAGGAGAGGATCAATGCTTAGTACAGCTATATTTGTTTATGCTGCAACATCACCAGTGAATGGATATTTTGGAGGAAGTCTTTATGCTAGACAAGGAGGTAAGTTGTTTTCATTTTTTAGCATTCTCATTGTGTTGTTGAATGGAGATGTTAGTATTTTCTGATTTTCACCAATGTGGAAATAGCCCCATGGAGTTAGGCCATTCAGATGGAAATAATATGGGAGTTTAATACACTACAAATATTTGAATATTATTTTCATATATGCTTGGTATTGGCTGCATTTTCTAGCTAAAGGTAGCTGAAGTCTTTGGTTAATTTAAAAGTAGTAAGAGCTAAAGAACTGTCAACAGTTATATGTTATGAGTAGCTTGTTATGCTCTTGTATATAGTTTGGCTTGTGACATCCTGACAGTATTATAGTCTTTCCCTGTTCTGTAACATTCTGTTAAACAGCTCATGCCATCTTCTCCAGATGAGTCTTACATAGCCCTCCTATATTTATAGCTCCAAGGGGTTATGTTTACTAACAAGGAAGGATGAGTATGCTGTACTTACTAGACTATTATTTGTGTGTGGGGAAGACTGTTCATAGCATCTCTTAAAGAAGGTTTTTCTACTTGTTAGTATGTGCTCTACTTTATACTTAGCAAATTCAAAATGAGTATCAGTAGAGAGCAGAAGCCAAATAAATTTGACATAGCAAATTTGGACAGGCTGTCTTCAAGTGCTCCCCACTATGTCTCCGAGTTATGACCAATTACATCCTTGCAGTCCACTAGCTTCATCCATTCCCTATGCTGCAATGAAAGAGTAATCGATATCTATTATCTTCTGCAGTGCTTTAGAAAAAATAATTCTGGTAAGTTCGCAAAAGAACATTTCTGTATTTTCAGCATGATGTACTTGTCAGTATTCAGTCCCAACTGCACTCTAATGTACTTCGAGTTTGCAGGTTAGATGTTTCTTTTCATGTGGCTTGTGTATAAACCTAGCCATTTATAGAAAAACAGATCTAGGGAAATTAGGGTTGCTGTTCTAAAATGGATCGTGCTGTGCAGTTGAGCTAGGTTTGCTTTTTTTTTTCTACAGATCAAACATGCATCAAACTGTGAAATGTTGATTATGTTTGCTTATGGTGAAAACACATACGATGGTCTTGAAAGGCATATGCTAGTTTTTAGGCTGTTTTTTATTTAGTGCATATTACAGACGCATCTGTGGTGTATTAAATTGAAATAGAGACAGTATGGAACAGCATCGAAAATAAAGGCAATACAGACAGTGAAAATGATTAAGGTATTACCCAAGACTGTTTTTTTGAGCTCCTCAGGGAGCTCTAAACCTAGTAATAACTGCTAACAAGTGTTGCTGTTCCCTTTATGCCTGGGGTTTGGAAATCACTTTTCTTCTGTCTTTTTTGCTGTTGAAGATGTTTGAGTTCAATTTTTCTGTGTATTAAATACATTTTGCTTTATACCAGGGATAGCCAGTCCCTTAATGCAACCTCAGTGTCTGAAGTCAGCTTAGTTGGGTCACGACAACCTGGAGCAGGTGCTGCCTGAAAGCAGCTGTAGTGCTGAGTTGTCCTGGGAGTAGTGCTGAGGTCTCGTGTGCCCTCAGTGTGTGAGCAGGCTCTACACAAGGCCAGCTCTTCAATCTCTGTGTCTGCTAATCTGCAGTTTACATATACACTTAAGTTTCCTACCCCAGTTTCTTTGGCTGGCTTAGTCAGCATATGCTATTCTTCAGCTGAAATGTTCTCACGCTGTGTCCCTTTTGTCTTTTCAGCTGGCCTAATAAATTGATTAATGTGCTGCATCTTGTGAGTTGCCAGGAGTCAAATGAAACTGTCAGTTGACTCTTGGCTTTTGTATCAATGTTGTATGTTGTTACTTATTCCTTTCACCTATGTGGAGGAGAAGTCAAAGATCTAAATTCTGTAGAGCTTGCTGATATACTGTATTTTCTTTAAAAAATTATCTCACCAGTGCATTGGAATGTCCCTTCTTACAGGAAGGCGATGGATAAAGCAGATGTTCATTGGAGCCTTCCTTATTCCTGCAATGGTGTGTGGAACTGCCTTCTTTATTAACTTCATTGCCATTTATTATCATGCTTCAAGAGCTATACCCTTTGGAACCATGGTGAGTCATTTTACTGGAGAATTGGAACATCACTGTAGACACAGGAAAACTACCTTTTAGTCGAAATACAATTGTGATTCATGGCTTTAACTTCTTAGTTAGACATTTATTCTGGGAGGGTTTTGAAGTTCTTCAAGTATAATTCATTTAAATCACAATAGCAACAGCTGCTGGATGCCAACAGCAGCCATCTCTGCTTAAAATGACACATCTGCTTTGTATTCAGGCTTAGTGTTACAAAAACATGGGAAGTTAGCAGGTTGAATTTTCTTCTGGATTGCCAGTGCAAACTGGTTATAAGCTAAAATGCAATACAGAAGGATTCCAGGTGAAAGCTACTTCGAAATATTTGCAGTCAAGTAGAAAAAATAAAAGATGAACTAAGAATATGAGATGAGAAGTCCAGAGATCTGACTTGACAGAAAAAAAAAACTGTTCTCACTTTCTGAAGTGGCATTTAGTATCCAGTTATGGTGTTGTATCTGTGTATTAGCCACATCGCTTGAAAAACAGTGCTGATTGGGTTACTTTCTTATTTAATTATGGTGATTGTTCTTGTTTCTTGTGGCTTTTGTCAGGAATTTGTTTGTTGTCACAGCCCTTTCAAGTTACCTCAAATAATCCTGTGAATACTATGTAGGAAAATTCTGTTTGAAGTTTATTATTTGAGAGAAGATTTATTTTTTTGTTAATATGCACTATAAAATTGCTTTATCTAATTTTATGCATTAGCACTGTTAACTTAAAAATTATGTTAATACAGGAAGGCCTTTTTTTTTTCAGTATCTATAGGAGATCTTGGGATTTAACTTTTTTTTGTATAGATCCCTTCTTTGCATGTCAGTTTTTCTGATGTTAAATTGTTTAATCTATTCAGAGATGTTTGAGTAGCCTTGGATTTCTTCTTAGTTTAAGTCTACCACAAAATAAAACTTAGTATCACCAGTTCTGTCTTACAAATTGTATTATTTGGGATATAATAAAATGCAGTATGTGACTGAAAATACTTATGAAGAACACATTGTTGGTGAATGAATGTGGTAGAAATCAGAAATGGTAGTAAAAGCTTTCAATACTTTTCTAGTGATGGAGGAGTCATTACATGTAAATTGCTGGTTCTGGTCGCCTCCTTACTAGTAGTATTTTCAATGCATGCCTACATACCAACTTCTTACATTTCATTCATTGTTATAAAACTACTAAATGCAGTATCAAGCTAAATGTGTTTCTAAACTGCTCACTTAATTTTTCTGGTTTTCTTCCTCAAGAAATTAGACTAAAATTCTATATTTGGGTACATTTATATCAGTTGGCCGGTGCCCCAAAAGAATATTGTATTGTTTTTTCTTTCCTAAGCTAGTAGCCATACACAAAACTGTCAGAAAAGTTTACAACATTGATCTTTGATATGTGTGAAGCACCTCTGTTTTACTGCTGAGCAAGTGTTTATGGTATCATATTTCTCACTTGTATTCCCATTTGGAAGCCAGGAATGTTGAGGGAAAGGAATTCCACCCCTGCTGAAGTTTGTCTTGTAAATCAGCTCAACTGATTTGTATTTTAAGATCATGGAAATAGGTACATGCAAAAGCAAATGGGAATATAAATCTTCAGGGATCACTTAATCAGGATGTTAGGACTCTCTATACACAGTGATTTTAATGATCTCAAGGTTTTATGAACGTGTTTGAATTATTATGACTGTAGCAATAAACTTTAGTGGAGTTAGCAGACTTCTGGCAGGAACAGATTATGACTTGGAAACTTCATCAGAAAAAGCAATGCTCTAATGACTTCAGATCAACTAATGGAGCTGGTTTATAGAGGGAAATTAAAATTGTTTGAAATTACCATGTTATGCTTCAGGTTGAAGTCCCTGGGAAATATTCTGGCTTTATGGATAAGATACCTTTGTGTATTTTCACCTTTGTTTTCAATATAGAGAAGCTTCTAGAATTCTCTAGTGCAAACTTGCTGCTGCTGCCTTCTTGGCGAAATAAAACCTTAGCCATCTAAACGTACTGGAACACAGAAATTTCTTCCTTTACCCTTGCATGTCTTGAAACCACCCTCCTTGATTTAAGTTGCTGGCAAGAGTTACCACCTCTTCTTGACTACTGTAAATCTGGACAAAGCAGAAACTGAGTTGCTAAAAAATGTTTTTGAGTGAAAAGGTTGCTAAGAGGCAATGCTTAAATATGATATCTATCCTGTGCTTTGCCTGTTTTGCATTGCCACTTTCCAGTGAACCACTAGATAGTATCCTCTCTATAACTTAATTCCTCCCTCCAGACAGGTTAAGCAAGGGCAGCTGATGGTATCAAAGCCAAGACATCCAAGTTGGTGCCTCTTTGATCTCTACCTAGTATCTGGTCTTCTACATTTTGTCTTGAAATGCTCAGATTGATTTGGCTCTTAGGTACATTCATACACCTCACTGTCACTGCTGTTTATTTTGGACTTCAAAGCTTCATTCACCTTGTAGAAGTCATTCCTGATGTCTGGGATCTTCTTGAAGATGTGGCAGGGACTGGGAAGATCCAAAGCATGTTTCTGAAATCATTCCTCAGTCTTGGGACTCTGCCTTTGGATACACATGCAAAACATCTTACCTATAGTGTCAAACCTCCTGTAGTGCAATACACCATAAGCCTGAACAAAGACTTAATCTCCTCCTTTGGATATTGTTCTGCTGCCCTTCCCTGCAAAATGCAGTAAAGAATGCAACAGATTTTATTCAAATATGCAAACTTTAAAAAACTTAATGGTTTAAAGCTTTCAACTCCCAAGCATGTGAAGAAGATCTAAAGGTCTGGATTTTTTGTCTCATCTCTTCACCTTTATAGAAATGCAGTGGGTGCTGTTCAGTTATTTGTTCTTTTGAAGCCCAAATTTGATTTTTTGGGCTATTTTGTTTAGTATATCCTGTTACTGGTGAACACCTTGACTTACCTTACTCCATATATGTTTATGAGAAGTGTGATGATATTTCTATGCAGAAATACTAAGTATTGCAGAATTTTTGCAGAATTTCTACAAAATACAGCACGGTTGAATTTGAAGGGATCATCTTAATTCTGGCATTTAATAAGTTGTGACTGCTTTAGTTGTTCAGTGTGTGATACATAATTTAAAGATTTCCATTAAGACTACTATGACTATTGTAATATTCTGGCTGCAGAATCCGTGCATCTCCATTAAACTGCTTAAGGTGTAGTGTTTTTGTTTGAGTAGTAGCTTCCTGTGTGTCTAACGTTTCCAGTATGCATTTTTAATGATTTAATTAAATAAGGTTATGCACACTGAATTTCTCTTGGGATTGAGACCCTGTTGTTTGCATCTTTTGTGCCTTATTTCAGCTAGAAAAAAAGTGTTTCCTCCAACAGATAGCTTAATCCAGGCTGCAGCCATCCCTGACAGCTTTAAGTTGATATGAGTATTGGCTGCCACTGAGACCAGAGGACCTGGTCATGCCAAAGATTTTCAAACCTTGGGCCAGATAGGGCTACCTACAGATAGAAAAAAATCTAGGTATATACATTCAGCAGGGTGGTTCCTCAGAGTGCTTGAAAAGTGACTGTGGAACTCTTAGTCAAAAACCTAATTTTTGCCGAAAATAGATACAGCTTAATGCTTCTGCCTAAATTTATTACCCAGAGCAGCACCCTAGATTAACAACTTAGTTGTAATAAAAATAACAACACTTAATTTTGAAGCCTTCTGCTCTTGTTCTGTATAATGTTTGGCCAGATGACGCACAGAAAACCATTTCACTGTACGGATTCAGTAACCTCTATATGGGGGGAGAGTCTTATGACTGAGAGTGCAGTTTTGGTAGCTGACAGGAGAGATCAAGCTGTTACTTTGACAGTTAATTTTTATTGCTTTTCTCCCTTGTGCATTAAGCAGTCAAGGCACCATAGCCCACCAGTAGCTGTTTAATATTAGATATGCTCATAAAAAATTTAATTATCACCTTTGAATGAAGTTTAATCTACAGTTGTCAGAAAATATGAAACACATGGCACTGGAACATAAATTACATCCCTCCTGACAATGTTTTTTTTCAAACAAGGAAACTGAATTCTGCACATTCAGTCAAGGGCAATAGAATATTCTCAGTGTGTGATACATAATTTAAAGATTTCCATTAAGACTACTATGACTATTGTAATATTCTGGCTGCAGAATCCGTGCATCTCCATTAAACTGCTTAAGGTGTAGTGTTTTTGTTTGAGTAGTAGCTTCCTGTGTGTCTAACGTTTCCAGTATGCATTTTTAATGATTTAATTAAATAAGGTTATGCACACTGAATTTCTCTTGGGATTGAGACCCTGTTGTTTGCATCTTTTGTGCCTTATTTCAGCTAGAAAAAAAGTGTTTCCTCCAACAGATAGCTTAATCCAGGCTGCAGCCATCCCTGACAGCTTTAAGTTGATATGAGTATTGGCTGCCACTGAGACCAGAGGACCTGGTCATGCCAAAGATTTTCAAACCTTGGGCCAGATAGGGCTACCTACAGATAGAAAAAAATCTAGGTATATATATTCAGCAGGGTGGTTCCTCAGAGTGCTTGAAAAGTGACTGTGGAACTCTTAGTCAAAAACCTAATTTTTGCCGAAAATAGATACAGCTTAATGCTTCTGCCTAAATTTATTACCCAGAGCAGCACCCTAGATTAACAACTTAGTTGTAATAAAAATAACAACACTTAATTTTGAAGCCTTCTGCTCTTGTTCTGTATAATGTTTGGCCAGATGACGCACAGAAAACCATTTCACTGTACGGATTCAGTAACCTCTATATGGGGGGAGAGTCTTATGACTGAGAGTGCAGTTTTGGTAGCTGACAGGAGAGATCAAGCTGTTACTTTGACAGTTAATTTTTATTGCTTTTCTCCCTTGTGCATTAAGCAGTCAAGGCACCATAGCCCACCAGTAGCTGTTTAATATTAGATATGCTCATAAAAAATTTAATTATCACCTTTGAATGAAGTTTAATCTACAGTTGTCAGAAAATATGAAACACATGGCACTGGAACATAAATTACATCCCTCCTGACAATGTTTTTTTTCAAACAAGGAAACTGAATTCTGCACATTCAGTCAAGGGCAATAGAATATTCTTTCCCTATCAAAACAAAACAAAAAGGGGTTAGAAAGCATGCAGACTTGGTGAGGTTAACAGTCTCTTCTGTGGCAACTAAAACCTGCAAACTAAATCAGATATTTTGCACAACAAAAAGGCAACAGTCAAAATGAAATAGGCTTCTTTTAATGTACTGTCTTGGTAGAAGAGAAGCTGACAAAATTTTCAGTGAAGAAGTACCATGAAGATTTCCATTTCATTCTTTTCCAATGTATTGAGTATAAAGATTAGATTGAAACAGTAAAAAACCCCAAAAATCTGTAATGGTTCTGTTCTCTCCATTGATGCAAGAAAAGATTCTTAATAATGTTTACTAGGCAGTTTCTCAGGAAATTTCCATTTGTCAATGTAATAATAATAATTACATTAGTCAACATATATTTGTTTATGTTGACTAATGGTTCATAACTAGGGTTATGACTGTACAACAATTAACTACTAAAGACTAATTTATACAGGGTATGTTGGTTATCTTCTTTTGTTGTCTTATACCTGCTTTTTGAAAATTATTAATTTTTTTGCTTACAGGTGGCAGTGTGCTGCATCTGTTTCTTTGTCATTCTTCCACTGAACCTCGTTGGTACTATTCTTGGCCGAAACCTGTCAGGACAGCCTAATTTTCCATGTCGTGTCAATGCAGTGCCTCGTCCTATACCAGAGAAAAAATGGTAAAGACCTATGTGAATGTTAACGAGATGTATTCACTTCAGAACATTTAAAATTTCTTTTCAGATGTGATCATTAAAAGTTTTCATAGAAACATAGAATGTTTCGGTTGGAAGGGACCTTAAAGATCGTCTAGTTCCAACCCCCCTGCATGGGCGGGGACACCTCCCACTAGCCCAGCTTCCCCAGGTCCAACCTGTTCTTGAACATTTCCAGGGAGGGGGCATCCACAGCCTCCCTGGGCAACCTGTTCCAGTGTCTCGCCACCCTCACACTAAACAATTTCTTCCTAATAGCTAATGTAAAAACTACGCTTTTCCAGTTTAAAGCCATTCCTTCTCTTCCTGTCTCTACCATGCCCTTGTAGAAAGTCCTCCCCAGCTTTCCTGTAGCCCCTTCAGGTACTGAAAGGCCACTGTAAGGTCTCCCAGGAGCCTTGCCTTCTCCAGGCTGAACATCCCCAACTCTCTCAGCCTGTCTTCTTAAGGGAGGTATTCTAGCCCTTTGATCATCTTCATGGCCCTTCTCTGGACTAGTTGCTGTAGAGTGACTTTTTTTTTTAAACTTAGTTTTGTCTAGAAAATCACCTTCACTGATATGTGCTTAGTATGATTTTTCTGTTGATTAAAAACAAGTACAGTTAATGGTTAATAGCTGTAGCAGATTTTACAGTCCTGGATCACTGATTGACATTTGGCCTGAAATGCTCTTCAGTCTCTTATGTAAAAGGGATGGTCCCAACCCAGTTCTCCTCTATGGGTATCTTGAAACTAAACCTTTCCTCCTTAGTTAATGCCTCTTACAGATTTAGGATTGAATGTGCCTTGGAGGCAGAACTGTTCTGTTTAATGGTCTCCATATACAAGCTGAGACATATTTTCAGTGTGATGGTGGGGAGAAGCTTGCAACGTTGCTTGCAGTTCTGCACTTTTGTTGATGGCACAGTGCCTAAAATACTCCAGGTATATGGTGTAAATTGCTAATAAATCTTTTTTTTTGAAGTTAATATATAGGAGTAGATGCCTAGTCTCAAAAAGTAGACTTGAGTTTTTGGAAAATCATGAATGCAGTCACTTTTTCCTATTAATTTAATTCTGAGATGGAAGCAGCAAGCTATGGAAATGAAAATATCCTCAGAGGATTTTTTAAATAGATTTTTCTTGCTTTCCCACTTCAGAGGAATGGAACAAAGTGAAGGGAGCACTGAAACGTGTACACCCACGCTATCCAGAAAGTGCAGTGCACTTAGTCTCTTGTTAGTGGTGGGTTGTGCAGCTCAGATGGTAGGATTTGATTTATATTGTGACCTGTATCTTGGGAATCTGAGGGATTTTTCTGGATCAGTATGACGGATGAAAAGAAATGAGATACTTCTCTTGAAGATGATGAAATTGCACACTGTCAACTTAGACAAGTCTCCCTATAAATAATAAAAGAAGCTGCAAATTAAATCACTGGTTACTAGCTTGATTATCATTGCAAGGACTACATAGAGGTCACCTTTAGTAAGTGACAGTATCATCTACAGGTAGCTCAGTATTCCTTTATGGCCATAGACTCATGATTCAGGATAGCATCAAAAATAAAAGCTGGTTCTTAATTATATAACCATTACCCTGCAAAATTTCCTTTGTGCTTCTGCTGTATTTGGAGCCATGAACAGCTTTGGGTTTTATCTGCCTTCATTTGATAGTGCATGTTATGGGGCCTGATTGCTTAAGCCCTTTTGGGCAACAGAGATTCTTTCTGTAGTGTTTAAGGCTGGGTGGATGCCTAACCTTATGCCTGTAGGTGATAGGCGCAAGACTTATGTTTGCTTATCTGGTTCTATGTCTTGATATGTTTATTAATGAAAGATTAATTTTCCTTAAACCAATCTTAATATGTTTCAGGTTCATGGAACCAGCTGTTATTGTTTGCTTAGGTGGAATCCTGCCTTTTGGATCAATTTTTATTGAAATGTGAGTATCTCAGCTATTTGCCAATTTTATGTAAGAGTATAATGAATTAAGTTCAATTACAAAATCATCTGCATATTTTGTTTACTCTCTTCAGGTACTTCATTTTTACTTCATTCTGGGCTTACAAGATCTACTATGTTTATGGCTTTATGATGTTGGTTCTGGTTATCCTCTGTATTGTGACAGTTTGTGTGACTATTGTTTGTACATATTTCCTGCTAAATGCAGAGGATTACAGGTGGTAAGTAGTGCATTATTTGCATAGTTAACCAGATTGTGAGAGTTTTATAGAAAAGTAATGTTGTTTGGTCTAGATGAGTCTTTTCAAAGTGTCCAGATTGTAGCTGTAGGGGAAAAAATGCTGGGATCCTTTCTGTACAGGAGCTTTCTGTGTGTATGTGCATCTGTGCATGAATGTATGTGTCAAGGCAGATGGGAATATGAAGAAGGGTCATCATTTGGTATCAGTGGTAGTTGTTGCCATAGAAGCTTTGTCATTTGTAGCAGACAACATGTAGATTTTGTTAAATAAGCCTGTAGAACCAGGATGCTTTGTTTTCAGGGTAGAGTTCTAGTGCATTGTGCATCTTCTTGGGAAGCCTTTTTGTTAGATAGATGATGGACATGTGTTTACTTTCAGGCAGTGGACAAGCTTTCTTTCTGCGGCATCAACTGCAATTTATGTTTACATGTACTCCTTTTACTACTACTTTTTCAAGACAAAGTAAGTGGTAGTTTTCTTGCTTGAGTATCACATTTCCACATTGCTAAATAATTTATTGAGAGAAACTGAGGAAAATGCATATAATAAATTTCTTTCTTTTTCAGGATGTATGGCTTGTTTCAAACATCATTTTACTTTGGTTATATGGCAGTATTTAGCACAGCTTTGGGAATCATGTGTGGTAAGTTTCAAATATATTGATAGATTTCTATGAGAATTTTTCAGACTGTCATGTTTCTGATTTTAGCTCTGCGGTTTTGGTGGTGGAGTGTGTATGACTGTAAAATATGCTCAAAAAAGCTTACCATTTCTAAAAAGAGTTCTCTGCTTATGCTTGCTTCCTACCTAATAAAGGAGGTGTCTGTGTCTTCTGATATGAAGATAGTTTATGTACTGTGCAGAGGATTTCACCCTCAGTGCAAGCTTGAAAGACTCAATATTCAGAAAAAAATTCTGCAAAACAAATTTCAAATTAAGTGGAAATGCACGAGTATTTTGTTTTGCACTTTTTAGTGTTGCTTCAACACAAGGACCTAGGTATACCCATTGAGGCATCAATGGTATCACAGTGCTGATGACACTACCATTTGTATCTTGTGGCGTGTATGTATGAGAGTGACAAGAACAGAAGGGACTGACACTTCAGGTTAGCATTTGATAAATAAACATTGGAGTATTCAGAGGTGAGGAGAATGCAGAGTGCTTCTGTGTGTGGCTGGATTTAATTCCTTTTTAAGATAGTGTTTAGACAAATATGTAGGGGGAAAAAAACCCAAAACAAAACGTAGTTCTTGGCATGGAGCTCATCTGAAAAAGTCAAATATACTTGTTGAGCTGTTAGCTATAATTTTATCCTTTGCTGTATGACTTTCCAGAAGTGCTACGTGCTTCTTTTGCACTTTCTTATAATGTTACTTTTTGTGTGAGATCCTTATTTATGACCTTTTGAGTAGTGAGTGATCATGTAGACTCTAATGGGAGGCTTTCTTTGAGTTAGGTATTTGATTTGCATCATGTCTTACAGGAACTTATTTCTGTGAAGTACACGTTTCTTGATATACTCCAAGAGCATGGGTGATTTTACTGTGCTTTATGAAAAGAGGAGGGAAATAATCTCTTAACTGCTGAGTACCTGTTCCCCTGCACTCTCATACAATCTAATCTTGCTTCATCAGTTTCTTGGCACATTGCAACACTTCCCTGCTGTTCTGGTAGTCTTGCAGCCATTTTTTTTCTTTAATAGGCTTATACTTTTCAGCTCTAATCTTTTCTTTTTAAAGTGCTCAGGCTGGTATTGATTAAAAAGTCTATGATGCAGAAGCCAAGCCTGTCCACTAGTTTCTGTAATTAAAATGTTTTTTAAAAAAAGGATAAGGAAGATTGTTGAATGCTTTCTTGTCATGATAGGACAGTGCTTGATGGAATTTTAGAGTAAAATCCAAAATATTCAAAATCAGAAAATACTTTAACACATTAAACTTCATTTACACAGCTCTCTTGAGATTTCTTTTTGTCTTTTTAAGTGTGTTGGAAGAGAAGCTGTGACATTCCTTTTTACTGAGAACTCCCATTTTCAGCATGTGAAGGGAAGAAAAAAAACAATCCCCTGTCAAAAAGCATTTGTCTAAGGAACTTGCTGCCATTGAGGTCTAACAAAGACATTTGTGTTAAAGAATTATGCAGTGTATGTGCTACTGATTACGTCTCCTGTGAAATGTGGGTAGAGCCATGTTTTGGAGGCTCTCACCAACAAGTGTTTCAGTATCACACAGTTGGATGTGAGAGGAACTAGTTAGGGTCCAAAGCAGCCACAGGGAAACTCTCCGTAGGTTTGTATCATCTGACTTGGGTTTTAGTTCCTCTGACAGTACCTAGCAAATTCATATCCTACACAGTGGGATGCTTTGGTCCACAAAGTCTGCTGACCTCTGCAGAGCATGTCATTTCTGGGACTGGACAGTAGGGAACTTTCAAACCTTTTGAACTCTGCATTTCCTTCTTAGTGACAGAAAAGAACAAAACTTACTCCCCAACTCAGTGGATAGCTTAGAAGCAAGGTAGTATAGAAGGGCTTCTTGCAATACCACACTTCAACATCTAGATGAATACTGTAAATGTGATTGAAGAGCTTTTTAAAAAAATTCTGTGCTTTCAAAGTCACAGCTGTATTAAGTGTTAATTGGTTTGAAGAAATAGATGGGAATTAGTCTTTCTGTGTTTTGTGATTGCTTTTCCTCACTATTAGGATTATTCTCTTTATTTAAGAGCTTGTTCGGCTGAAATAGGCACACAGTCTATTCTGCTAAACTTATATAGGCCATAACGAAGTTATAAATATAATCTATTAAGTTGTTTAATAAATTAATTCTCTTTCCTAAGTTGGGTTTTTTGGGTTTTTTGTTTTGTTTAATTCAAATGAGGCAACTGGTTGTGCATTTGTTTCAGGAGGACATTCGTTAGTCCTCGCTGTCCAGAGTTTCCCCTCCCAGTCCCGTGCCTTTGAAGTAGCCTTGAGGCTTAACCCATGCCTTAGGTATTGGCCCTTAGTGGCCTTCATGGCTAGGGCTCCAGTGATTCAGAATAGGTTATGATTTGTTCATAGGGTTGAGAGCTTGTGGTCTCTATGTGACTGCTACTCTCTGTTCCTCCCCCTTACTTCCATCTCATGCATACATTCTCTAGCTCTCAAATGAAACACAATTAATGCTTTGTTATCCCAAATCTGTGATATCTGACATCACATCACTAGAAGAATCCTCAAAAAACAAGTTCTGGAATGTATCTGAATTTAGCAATTAAAACGGGCATTGGATCTGTTGGCAGTGTCTGCTTTAACAGGAAAAAACATGAGTCTTGAATTTTTTGTATTTACTGCATAAGACAGAAGATGAGTACCTTGATAGAAGAATCTGTGTTCTTTATGACTCCAAGCTCACTTCACCTCCTGCACAGCCCCTGCTTGGGTCTGAATGCTGTACTGGTCTTTCCTTGAATGGCCAGCTCTTCCCCAACACATTCAAGGTTTGCAGGCAGCAACCTGATCTCATGTGTGCTGTATTTTGTCCAAGTTAGTAATATAAATTCTTCATTTGCTGGCTCCACAGGCTCTTTACCTCACTGATAGCATTGGGAAGATGCATCAGGTCTGCCTTGTGCATATTTCCTGATTAGATAGGAGTGTTGGGCTTTTGGGAGTCTTAAAAAACAAAATTTTGTGAGAGTTTAATGGATGACCTCATGACTTATCCGATCAGTTCCCAGGATTTAAATAACTCTTCAAGTTCTGAAAAACTAGTGAGCAATGGTAGCTGCAGGCCTGTGTGGCCTTCATTTCTAAAGGCAATAAAGCTTTATATTTTTATTGAAAAACAAAGTGCAGAAAATTTTTAGCATTGGTTAGGCTTTTATATTTAACACCTCTTGAGCAGATCTGGTGCATCCCAGATCACTGAAAATGTTTTATGCTTTCTTCTGGGCTTTTTTGTATTGCTTCAGGAAATCAAAAATACCTTTTTTGTTTAGGGTCCATTCTTTATTGAGCATCCAGACTTTTGATATTAGCAGTTGTCTTCTCTGTAGTGTATTATAGGCCCTGACTTCTCTGTCCTTTTCTTCCTGTATTTTTTGTGTTATTCTGGTAACCTGACAGCAGCTGTCTCCAATTCTTGTTTGATTTTTTTCAACTTCTCTTCTAACCTGAGGATTAGCCAATTTGACTTCCACAAGGCTGATTTACTCTCATTTTGCTTGGAAAAGATGAAGGTATTCCCTGTAGATACAACAGTATTTTACTGAGCCTGGCAAACCTGAGGTTCTGGGTTTGACCAGTTACATTGCGGGATCTCTTTCTGAGAACAGATCTTTGTTCAGTGTATTTATTTTTGTAGATGTCCTTAGTCCTGCAGTATTTTGGGTTTAGCATAAACTGTTGCCTGTTCTTTTATTACTGCTGTGACAATGCCTACTCTGCTCATGACTCGTACTAATTTGAAAACCACAGGTTGCAATTTCCTTTAACTACTAACTGCTACTAGTTTAATCTCCTCATACAGACCTCCTTGGAGTTTAAGACTCCTGAGATGGGGACCTCTTATTATTTGTGCCTTGTGGGAAGAAAAAAGCCATCTGCCAATAAAATACTCATCCAGAAGGCATGTAACTTATAATAAAAACCTGCCCTCCCATCCACCTTCCCTGCAGAGTGGGTGATTGTATGTTTTTTACCCTCTGTTCGGAAAAGGACCCACTTATTGGTCGCAGTAGGGGGGCTGCTATATTTATCAAGGCCAAGTGAGCATGGCCTCTTGGTAAGATGGCTTAATGGATTTAGATTGCTAGGCTGGGGACGTTCTTGCCAGACATTCACTGGGAGAGTGGATAATTAGAGTTTGAGAACAAGTATTGCAGGTAAATAATTTTCTGTGTGCAGAGTGTGTACTTCATGTGACTGTCTCTGTTAAAGTGTGCATGCTTTATATTGCTGTCTTGTTTTCATGATGAGCTCTCTAAAATATTAATCATTTTTTGTTTATTTTGCAGGAGCTATTGGTTACATGGGAACAAGTGCCTTTGTTCGTAAAATCTACACTAATGTGAAAATTGACTAAGAAAATCAGAAAATTGAACTATGGATCAGTTCCTGTTTTCACGGGGATGAACTTGCACAACAAAAAGCGCGAGAAGAGATTTGGGTTTTAACACTGGGCACTATATGGGTCTCCATTTTGTGGATGGCTAAAAGTAACATCTATTTCATTGATCCTAGGTTGTTACTGACTGCTTTCTCCAACTGTTCACAGCAAATGCTTGGATTATATGCAGTAGGCATTACTACAGTACGTGGCTAATCTTCCCCCAAAAAAATATCAAAAAACAAAAAGCCTAGCTCATTAAAGATGAATAGACTAGCTCTCTTCAGTGAAGAGGACAAACAGTTTATTTAAAGCATTTGTTCCATTCAATAAAAAGAGGGAAACTTGGCTGCTAAAACTACTTGATTGGTAGTCTTCCTGGTACTTAACATTTCTATATATAAAAATGCCGTTCCAGAAAGATTACTTTTCTGATTTTTACTGCCATTACCAGGACGGGAGGTATGTTTTGTATTTTGACTCCAGGTGCTTTTTGGTTTATTTGCGATACCAACTATATTCTACACTCATTTGTTTAAAAAATAATTTAAAAATATATAAAAACCCCCATATGCATGTAATATATCAGCTATTGTTCTAGTTGGACCAATTTCCCTTTATTTATCTTTAAAGTAATATCAGCTACATCTTAAATCCATCCAAAGAAAATACAGTCTGAAGACGGGATGTGTTCTCTGCAATGCAATTTACTGTACAGTTAGAAAGCAAAATGTTAAATGAAGAGGAATGTTTGTTTTTTAATAAACACTTTGAGGTCTAGATTAAAACAAAACCAACATTTTAACTGAATGTCTAAAGTGATTCTCCTTTTTTCCAAGTTAGTCTTGCATTATTTTTTTTGTTTGGATTTGAATGAAGATTTTCCTTTAGGCATTATACAAGGGGTAATAAGTGTATATAACATTAAATAATGTAACTTAGGTGTAGATTCCAAATGTATTTGGATGTACAGATTTACTACAGAGTACTTTTCTGATGATTCGGTGTAAAAATGTGTGAATTTGGGTGGCTTTTTACATCTTGCCTGCCATTGCATGAAAAGTTGGGGTTTCTTCACAATGTGTGTATGTCATGCTTTTCTGTTCTATTTCCTTTCTTAAGCTCCTACAAAAAATTCAATTTGTAATTTAGAACATTTTAATTTTTGTTAATCCTGTCTGGACACTTGTGTAACATCAAAAGCACAGTTGCTTTAGAGTGTTCAGAAAACTAAAATAAACTTTTCAGACAAAAATTATCTGATTGTGAAAATAGATGAGTTTGCAATTGAAAATGTTTGAAAAGGCAATACTGCTAAATGCCAGTTTCTATCTACAATATTAGTATGGTTTTCAAGTATCAAAACCTCATGCTTTGAATTCAGAATTTACTTACAACTATGTTGTACAGTACAGCCCCAAAGTGGATGACCAGGCCAAAAAGATTCTTCTTGGCTGAAGTGTTTGTGGAGAAATCTGTTTTGTGATCCAGCTAGTGTACTGAAAAAGGTGGGGGTAAGTGTGGACTGCAATAAATGGGCAAATAAAGGTTATGTCTTTCTCAGATGACTGTTAATTATGCACTGTATTTAGCTAGAAATGTCCTGAATGTGCTTGTGACAGATTTGAGAGCCAGTCAGCTTGATTTATTTTAAGGGGTTTTTGAGGCATCTGCCATATAGGGATGTTCTAATCAGTGTGGCTGTCTGAAATAGAGCACCTGCCATGGAGAAGGCAACTTCCTGAATTTAAAAAATTAGCAAAGTATTTGTATTGATTAGAACTGAATTGTTTCTCTACAAAAGATATTGATAATGCAGAAACCACAATAAGAAACAACTGTGCTTTGGCAGGGTCAGGTTGGAGGCTGAGGAAACTGAGCTGGTAGGCAGGTAATAGTGAGAAGCAATGCATCCTGCTATATATGGCTTCTGAAAAATATTTGAGCTTTCAACTCTGATTTCCCTGGCCAATTTTAATCAATCTATCAGGAAAGAATTAAGTTTTGCTCCAAGTCTGTAGCTGAACACTCTGCTGTTTAACAGAAGGTAATTTTTAAAATATTTTTTTTTAAGTACAGGCTGATTTTAAGATGAGCTTATAAACTGGTCAACAGTTAGTTTTTCTTTGTTGCAAAACATGGAATTAAAGAATGGGTTTTTACTAGTTCTTGCTAGTGTGTACAGCTGTGGGAAGCCCTCTTTTCATCCATGTTCTTCTAAATCTGAAGTGAGAAGCCATTATCCACGCAATAAATCATTAAGTACCCTGCCAAGATAGAGGTTTTTTTTAAAGGGAATATTTTGATAATGGGTCTGTTTCTCTATTTAGAGCACTGCTATGTGATTAGTCTATCAGAAATGTCACTGAACTATTTGTGAATTTCATTTAATCACCTTTTAATGCCACAGAATGGTGGGCCTACCTACTTGCTTTCTCTGTCCTCTGGCATTAATAGCTTTTGCATATCCAGATAGGATTGTATAACTTTTAAAGTGACTTTGAAAAGATACTGCACAGGCATCGCTTTTGTTTCTGCAAGCACACTTCTCTGGATAAGAATTGTGTTTAAGTAATTGACATTTTTATACTTCTACCCTAGTACAATGGTAAGTTGGGTATTTGCTTTGGTTTTGGTTTCTGAAGGAGTGCAAAATGTGACCAGTTTTCCACAATTTGTCTTCTTGGTTGCTGTTTGAGGCAAAGCTATTTATTTGCCCCTCTGTGGATATAGTTTGAACCATTTTGCTTAATAGAGTTTTGAAGCTCTCTGCTTAGATGATGTAGCCCTTCCTCTTTTATGGAAGAAATAAAGATCTTACGGCCAACACTCCTCTTCCCATCATTGTTTCTTAGGAGTTTCTGGTTCTTGAAGTTTTTTGATAACTCTTCAGTTAGTCACTCAGTGCTTTCTCCTCCCACTTCTGGTACAAAGGCCAGAAAACTGGGTAAATAGTTGTGTAGTAATAGCTGGTCTTGATCAAATGCTTTAGATAAAAAAAATTGTAAACCTTTCAATTGAGGAGGGGGCACATAGAAGGCACCTCTGATACATGATGTATGAAAATTGGTGAACGCTGGATTGGAGATAATGGAGACTGCAAATAAATGTTACGTTATGCTCTTTTTTTTGATGTCTGAATGTTTTGAAGCAACATGGGTCTAATTATTCCTCTGCAAAATTACATTCCAAAGTTTATAAAGTGCACACAATTAAATTGTTTTCTGTATGATACTCTAGGTGTATTTCTTTAACAAGTTTCAGGTTAAAAACAGAACAAAAAAATGAACCCAAAACCCTAATACGGTTGAACTGGCTAAAAATTGATAGCACATCCTGACCACTTTTACAGCTGCAGAGGTAACACAAATGAGAAAGTTACGTTTTGCTCTGGCTTCAGTGTCGCCAGGATCTAGCTGAATTTGCCCAATGGATATAGATACACAGATCACTGAAGACAGCAAAATGGAATGGCTGCAAGTGCATCAGCAATTTCTTCACTGGAATGTGTCCGAAAAGCATAAGCTTAGGGAAAAAGAGTTTCTGCTCCATTCTGTGGGCAAGAAAACTGAATAGTTGGAGCTACAGTTGAGGGGTCTTGTTCTCTTGGATTAATTCTTAACTGTGCAACTTGCTGTTAATTTTAAGTCATTTGGCACTGTACGTTGGAAAGGTTTGCGGTTTTGGATCCCTTGGATCTTTTCCAGCTAAATGCACTATGGTAGCAGTAGTCTTGCAATGGCTGTTAGCAGTGCTGCTGTCTAAAACAAGATGATTTATGGTTTGCATTCCTGAGGAGCTTTTTTTCTTTTTTTCTCTTTTTTTTTTCTGACAAAAGAGTTTTGGTACCATTTGTTTGCAAAAGGCAAAAGCAGAGAAATGAGCCTTGCAAAGGAATGTTTGTGTTTTGGTAAAAAGTTTCAGTGAGGAGATTCTCCTACTTTTCTGAGGTGATATATGTGTGCAAGTTCTGTACGTCGTTCCTCAAATCTTGCTGTTTTACCCAAGAAGTGCTTTTTCAGTTGTGAGAAGGGGCTGTTACAGTATTTTCTTCTATGACTAAGTCTGTCATTCTGAATTTTTTTCTTCAATTTTTGTGTTATGGCTTGGGTGGGGGGGGTGGGGAGGAGGGAAGAAATTATGAATCTGGAAGGCTTTGTGCAGTTCCGGTAAATTCAAGCGGTTCTTGGAGAGAATAATTTCGAAGGGTAGCAGCTCAACTGGGAAAAGGATAAGAGGTTGTTTTATCTGGTAGACTAATTATTCAAGAGGCCAGCCTCTGGAGACAAATTTGTTGTTATGGTATAATTTGCCCCCAGTCCTGTACCGGTTACAGTCATGATTTTCATCAGTGTATTTGCCCAGGTGCAAGGCTTTTGCAAAAAAAACCCCAAAGATTTATCTTCCATGAGCAAGGGAGGTGATGTTAGTTGCTACCAGCATTCTTGGCTTGTTTGTAGGTTAGTTTTCATGCCATCTCCTAGAACACAATACAGAGCAAGATGCTGACTGGAGGCTCTACTACACTGAGGCTTTGTTTCTTATAATGACCAACTTCTAGGAACTTTGTGTTCTAGACAGATCATTCTCAAGACCTTAGGCTTGGAACATTCCAAAACATTAACTATACACATTTGTACTTTCCCTTCAGCTGGCATTGCATTCCAGAAAATAAGTGCATTTTTAGAATTAGGAGTTTCTGTGTGATAAATAAAGCAGCAGTTACCTTGACAGATTCCAGTTCACCAAGGCAGAAACTGAAGCCCTATAAACTTGAAACGCTGTGCTGGGTCTGGGCTAGAAGCTCTCTAGAGAAGTCTCTAGAAGTTCTGTCTATCAAGCTGACCAGCTTAGAAAGACCACACTGCAGTTAGGCAGCACTGTGAATGTTTTTTTCCTGAAGGCTGTGCAGGGCAAGCTTTTTACTTGGTTTCTGGAAGTTTAAAGAGATACAGTAACTAACTTTTTGAGAAGCTTCCGGACACAGCTCAGAACATCTTGCAATACTGAACTCAGGGAAACGTTTGAGGCTGCTCATTCTCATTTTCTGAAGGTTTGTCTCAGAAATGTTAGTCATGTGGTGTACTAAAGACTAGATAAGGCATGGAGGTTTTCTAGGCTGCTCCCTTTGAGTTAACTTTATGCTATTTTATTTTATTTTTTAATTCTGAATCACTACAGGCTTGGTTTGGCTGTATTACTTTGCTGGGCTGTGAAAAATGGATTACATTATTGTCTTAGCATGAGACTTTTCTTGCTTTGCTACAGAGGAGTAGCTGTAAGAGTGAGTACAAAATTTTCTCCTTATTTCGCTTCTCAGGTGTGACCAGGAGTTGCAGGTGAATTAGTGAGCATTATCTACTGTTTGTTTTTAAAAGAGGTCTGGCGGTTTTATAGACGCCTATTTACCTGCAAGAATTGGATACGTTTATTATAAAGAGTTGAAGAGATGCTATTAGGTTACTCAAGTTTTGCATTTGGACAATTGCAAGATAATATTTAGTAATTTGAATTGCTTATCTGAAAATTGAATTTTGTTAAGAATTCTTTTTGTGTATATCTCGCTACCAGAAGGTGATCAAACCATCCACCTTTGTCTGAAATGTACCACTTTTTTCTTAGTAAGTGTAGCTAAATAGATAATGAAATAGGAAATCCCTTTTCCTGGTCAGATGTGTGATTTGGATGAAGATACTACTACAGACTAATATACATACAGACATCTTCTGCAGAACTGCACTTGGGAAACTTCTCTAAGGAACTTCTCCATCAAGCAGCGTCTCAGCTTTTTTTTTTTACATATTCATTAAATTCTGCCCGCTGATGTGGAACAGCCTGAACTTGGGGAGAATGTGCTACCAGCATCTGTGAAGGATGCCTGTGAGCAAACAGGTAAGTGCAACTCTCCCATCTTCATGTCTTAGCAGAGCTTTGGGGAAATGTTTTTACTTTCCCAAATCTATCCCTTTGGGGAAAGACAAAAAAAGAAAAAAATTAAGACTGTTTTTTTTCCTATGGTAAAAAATACTTTGGAAAGACCAGTGGATTCACCTTTCAGAATTTTGAACTGACAGATGCTTTTCCAAAGGTGTTCTCATGCCTTCCTGCTTAACCGTGCCACAGAGGTCACTGAAACCACCATCTTTTCTCAATGCTTTCCAAGCACAACTTAGTCCTGTAAGAACCTTGAAAATGGATTTTAAGCGAAGTAATGAAACATCAGTTTGACATGCTTCAGTTTGGGAAGCAGTGATC